AAAAAGCTTGTTTTATTTAACGACAAACTAAAGAACGATTGGGATAGCAGAGCTTATTGTTATCTACGGTTGATGGTTTCTATAGGAAATTAAAAATTTGATCATTCATTCATCATAATTTCATAGTCTAGTGGTGGAAATTGATCCTTTAGCCATCTTTTTATTATTAATTGTTTCTTATTTAATTTTGAGAATTGTTTCTTTAATTTTCTCTTTAATTTAAGTTACTTAAGTTTAGAATTCAAAAACCCCCTTTTATTTATTCACAAAATTTATTACTTATTAGTTAAAAATTAGTCCTCTGCGGGAACAATCATTACTCATTGCTAAACTTAATAACCACGATCTAAGTAAGATTAATTTGAGGTTCCACTAGAATTCCATCGGAGGGTTTTTTTTTTTTTTTTTTTTTTTTTTTTCTAAATATTTTTCCCTAAATAGTTCTCCTTATAAAATATGAGAACTCTAATTGTTTTGATTGACAATCAAAGCCGTAATATTACAAGGGAATGGAAAATAATAATTAATAATAATAACACATTTTCTGTTAATTGAATTTTAGTTCTTACCTTAAGAATCGAATCCAATGCTTTAGACCTTCAAAAGAAAAAAAAATCCAATGATTTAGGTGATGTTTGGTAGAGAAATTCGTTTTCTGATTCGAATCATAATTCGTGATTCGCTACAATATTTTCTCTTATAAAAAATACACGTAAATCAAAAATAATTCTAATCACATTATTTATAAACTAAACAGACTCTTAATATTAGTTTTAGTACTAGACTAAAAGTACATGCTTTACTTGACAACTCTCGACTGGTTAAAACTGAGTTCAAGATATTTATGGGGTGCCACATGTCATTCCACGTATGTCTTGTTGCATAAAACTCCTCATAGCTAATGGACAAATTTCTCTTTTATATCCCAAGAGGAATGAAAATAATGGAATCTGAAGCCGCATTTGGATGAGCATATCGTAATCCAAATGCCACCGCGTAAGAAGACTAGGACAAAACTTCACAAATGACCCATTAATCTCATTAACAAACAAAAATATGGTTCATGAACCGATTTCTTTGGAGAAATGAGGGGTATTACAGTCAGGAAAAGTACGACCAGCAGAAACGACACGGTACAAAGTTATGGAGCCCACAATTCAGATGCCATTCCACAAAGTACTACATATAAAATTCCAATGGTAAATTCTACGTCATACAAAATTACACTAAACTAATTTTTCCGCCGGATTTTAAAATTCCTACACAACGTCTAAAATCTGTCAATCATTTACAACCTGACAAAACTACGGACCGCCTCATTTTTGTCGGCTTCTGTATGCACTTTTGCAGTATTGCTCTGGTGTTTTGTTCAGCTATAATGTAAGCTTTCATTGGGCAACGGCTTTCTAATTAATATGCTTCAATTAGAAAGCCTACATATGCTTTTGCACATTAATTTACTTGTTTTAGTTGTATTGTTAACTTGGTCAGAATATTTGGAAGTCCAGCTAAATTCCTAATTCTACAATTTGGAAGTCCAATATATAGGTAATAAGGTTTTCTCGTTCTATTTATTGAACAAGGACTTTCTGAAAATAAAGGGAAAATGGTTTGCTTCTTTTTATTTTATTTTATTTTATTTTTTACTCCTGCGTAATGGCATAAATTTTACCAAGCCAAGAGCAAGCAAGTTTCAATACGTCATGCACACGGTGTAAGTATTGAAAAATGTCCATAGGAAAACAACAAACAACATACATAATTGTAAAAATGGTTTTCTCAAAAAATAAATAAATAAATAAAGGAGTCAAGATGGTATATATATGCCTTTACATGCTATGCGCTCATCAGTACTTATTGGGAAGCAACCTAGTCTTAGCTTTATATTACATACATAAACAAACAAGCACACACATATATATTTATATACGTGGTATATATATATAGAGCCAATTCCAAACCACATTCTTCATATCCTACTACTTTAACTGTACTACTTTTCTCTCACTACCAATACAAATCGGTAAAACAAACCGAATTAAGCCCTAGTTTTCAATATCAAAAACTCTCAGCGATATTTATAATGGCAGGGCCAGAAGCCACAACAACGGCAACATTCACCGTAACCACTACCACGACGCACCAACCGCGCCGGCCCGCCGCTAGAAGGTTTGTCGGAGTCCGGCAGAGGCCATCTGGGAGATGGGTGGCCGAGATTAAGGACTCGTCGCAACGAGTAAGGCTATGGCTGGGGACATACGACACCCCAGAGGAAGCCGCAAGAGCCTACGACGAAGCCGCCCGAGCCCTGCGTGGCGAAAATGCCCGGACCAACTTTGCAGTGCCGCCGGTTTGCGCCGATACGAGCCCGTTGGTCTCGTGCCAAAGTGACGGCCGGCACAGCCTCATGAGCTTCTCTTCGTTGAAGGCCAAGCTGAGCAAAAATCTACACAACATCATGGCTAGGTCAAACGAGATCAATAACAAGTCAACGTCCAAGAGTAGGGTCAGTGATCACTTCACTTTCGCGAGTATATTCCATTTCAAGAAATACCACTCTAATAATCATCACCAATACCAAAACCCCATGATTGACATGAGGCCTAACATAGAGAAATTAGCGGTGCAGCCTAGTATTGTCGTGCCTTCACATGTGGATACGATGTCGTCTTCATCGCCTTCTTGGGAGGCCTCGAGCATCTCCGATTCTAGCGCAGAGTTGGCGGGGTTCGGGCGGTTTGATTCCGACGGATCGGAGGACGTCGGTGAGGGGTTTAGGGAGCTGAATCCGATAATGGGGTGGAATATGGATAGCCCGGAGGTGAGTGTATGTAGTAGAAGCTGTGAGGGTTTGGTAAGTAAGAGGTTTAGGGTTTCTTCTTCTGTGGTGGTACCTCCAACTTTCAGTAGCTCCTTGTTGTCATCATCAAGTGATGGTGAGACTATCAATTGAAAAATCAATTGAAAAAAGTGACCTCGTGTTGTATTAAAAGAAATGGTAAGCGTTGCATTTTTGTTTTTTGAAAAAACAAATTTTGACTTGTTTAGTTCGCTGATTCGAGTTTTTAATTTGAGTTGAGATGTGATTTTATGTAAGAGTTTTTTACTGTAGTAAAAAAATTAGATGTGACTGTTTCTGAAAGCTTTTTACTATAACAAAACTCGAATTCTAAACTTAAATCAGTAAAATAAACGAGGCTTATAATAGCCCGAATGTACTGTTCAAAATGCTAGGTACGCAGTAGTCCAAAAATAGGAATCTTTTAGGCGTTGCATCTAAGGCATAGAGAAGTGCTAAATACAGGCTCCATTACAGAGTCTCTTTCAAATGTTAGTTTATTTTCTTATCGTGTGTCATCCCACTTTATTAAAATAAACAAACTTGATAACAAGTCAATTCTTTTAACTATAAACAAACTTTATGAACTAAGTCTAGAATTACAGTCACATTTACTTTGTGCACCTTTTTCTTAGCCGGAAAACATATGGAATACTTTTTACACCTATTATTTTTTTACGTGTTGTTTACGAGATAATATTACGTATTTATTTTTGTTTTTGTTTTTGTTTTTTTTTAAAGTATCTGTTGTATCACAATAACAAAAGGTATATTTATGTCTTTCAAAAGAACAAAAAAAGGTATATTTGTATGTATATATAACATATACATATAGTATAAATTAATTATATTACGTATTATGCTCGTAGTTTACAGATTAAATATATATTTGTATATCTACGTCATATAATATATAAATATATATATATATAACGTAAGAGAAAAACCACAGTTACGATTACATATATATGTTATTATATTATATTTATATATCATATACATATGTATGTATATGTATATATATAAGTAATGAATTATAACGTTTTCTTTATACATATTAGTAAAAAAAAATACTTGTTTTAATTTAATATTAATCGGCTTTGGAGTTTTCAATGTTTACATAAAACTGAATTGTAATGTTGTAAATAATAGGTGAAAAAATAAGGTTTCAATCTTTTAAATAATAAGTGAAAAAAAGTAAACATAAGTATTTGTAAATAGTTCCAACATTAAAAACTATGAGATTGAAGAGAAAGTGGCACTCTTGTAATTATAGTTAAAAGAAATGATTCATTGTTAATTAGTTTGTTTGTTTAAAAAAAGTAGAATGACACATGTCAAAAAAATAAATTAGTATATGAAAGAGAGTCTGTAGTGGAGTCCGTATTTATAAGCACTCCTCAAGGCATATTTACACACATTAATACGGTTTGAGAAGTGGTCAACCGTATAGATCAGAGCGTGAGAGCTGATTTGCTGTTCGGAGTGATATATCAAGCTCTTCAAAGAAAAAGGGCGAAAAACTTCCAAGAATTAATGTACAGAAAAAGAGAGAATTGATGGATGGACAGAATAAAGGAGAGATTTATAATGACCAAAGTTGTTTGCTATATTTGTACGACAAAGGGCTAAAGTCTAATTAATTATGAAGTAATATTTTATACCTCTATGCGTGCTTTGGGATGTATGTATATAAATAGATGAAGACATGTACAGTGATACAAATTAACTACTCACTGATGATCAGCTCGTTTGTTTCCCAAACAAGAAAATGAAAAAGGAAAAAAATAAAAATAAAAAGGAACTTAACGTTCATATTGTTGCAAATAGTTCGCCAAACTTATAAGAATAGTGATAACTGTTCTAAGTATAAGATCTAAATTTGTATTTTGGAAATATTAACACAAAATTATGAGGTTTTAATTTACAAATTGAGAAAATGACAATTAGTTAAATAACTTATAGGGTGCGTCTATAGGTGCACTATATTATTAGAGTACATGTGTCAAACAGTGAATGTATTGAGTGACAAAAAAAATACAGAAAGAATGATGCTAACATTTCTCATTGGTATTAAGCTATATAGATTGAGATTGTCATTTGGCTTATTTTCTTTCTTTCTTTTCTCTCTTTCTTTATATAATTTGGAATACGCAGATGCACATATTAGAGCTTAAATCCTGATTCCTGGCCAAGGGTTTTTGTCAAAATTTTTGACCAACTTCGTAGATTGGAATTTGCTAAGATTAAATTTTCTTTATTAAAAAGAATTTTAAAGGAAAAAAACACATGCTTTTTCGTGGAGAGACTCTTTTATATTGAACTTCGTCCCTATTTATTTGGGAAAAAATAGAGCATAATAATTTTTAGAAGGTAATAGTCTTTTTTTCTTTTAAGAAGTGGAGTGTAATAAGTATTTTTTTAAGATACTTTTGTCTACAAAAGTAATGTTATAAAGGGTTTTTAGCACAATTGTTCCTGAACTTGTTGTAGTTTAGTAAATTGTCTCATAAACTGTTAATTTTGATAATTAACCCCCGGCCTTATAAAATTATTGTTTCAATATGCCTCATTTTATTACATTTAAGGGACTAAAAGTTAAATAATTGAAAGATTTGTGTTATATTCAAATTGGGATGTTAGAATTTTCGTCGAATGTGTTTTTTCGACAATAATTTTTCACAATCATTATCAGAATGGGGTATATTGTAATAATTTTACAAGTTAAGGAGACAACATGCCAAAATTGAAAGTTTAGACGGTAAATTGCTAAAGTCATACAAGTTTAGAGGTAAATGTATAAAATACCCTTTTATTATTGGATAATTTGGTAATAGCAAATTTTATTAAAATGGGGTATATAAAAAGTAGAATGAAAAGTGTCAATATATGCACCCTGATAAGTCCATAATTATATATATGGAAGGCCCATTCAAACCTATTTAAACCTAATTACTGTAGTATTTAAAACAATGACACTTTACTTTATTTAGTTTTGTATTTATTTTATTTTATTGGTTATTTGCACTATGTTTTGTAGGTGGGAGAGTGATGGAGAGAGAGTCTCCATATATTATTTGGTCATAGGGAAAGGAGTAAGAAGATGAGAGGTGGAGGGATGTAGTCTCCATCATGACCCACCAAATTGGATGGATTTAAGCAATCCATCATATTTTAACTTTAAAAGACTGTTTTATCCTTTCAATAAATTATTAACAAATAGTTTAATAGACAATATAGTAATTTAACAAATAATTATTAATTTTTTTAACTCTCTCTATCCTACCAAACAACATGAAGAATTACTAAAATATTTTCTATCTTTTATACTCTCTATCGCCCCAACTCTCTCCATCCCTTCAAGAAAGCATAGGGCCTATTTGTTTCCGTTCTTGTTTTCATTTTTCACGATTTTCGAGGATGAAAAATGAAAATGGTTTTACAAAACGTGTTTGGTCTAATAATTTTTAAAAATTAAAAATAAAAACATTTTTGTCATTTTCTGAAAATCTGAAAACAGTTTAAGTCCATTTTCATTTCTTCATTTTCCTTTTCTCTCTTCTCTTTGAATTTTTTTTCTGCCTTGGTGCAAACACCAGATCTCGGCCTCGCCGCACCTTTTTCTCTGCTAATTCCCATCGTCGCAAAGCCCCTCTTTCTCGCCAAATCTCTGCCTAGCCACGCCTCTCCTCTACGAAATGTGGCCATCGCAACGCCCCTCTCCTTCGCCAGATCTTGGCCTCGCCGCGCCACATTCTTCGCTAGATCTCATCTTCATCACGAGCTTGCTCTTTGGAATTTTGTTCTCTTGGATTTTCTGGTTTTAGCTTGGGTCATGGTTGCTTCTTTTGTTTTGAATTTTGTGATTTTTCTGGTTGGATTTAGATTTGATTTTCTGAAACTTGTGAGTTTTTACTTATTTTTTTTTTTTTTTCAAATTTTTTGGGTTTTGGTTGTTTAGTTGTGTCGTGGGAAGGAAGGAGAACAGTTAATCGCATGGGAAAGAAGAAAACCATTGTCGTCAATCAATAACGAAATTTACTGTGGTCTGTAAATTAATTTATTGCCCCATTTAGTATGCAGAAGATAACCATTGAAGATTTTAATTTGTCTTCATCCCCTTTAATCTACTGAAGATCTCCATTGTCTTCAATCAGAAACGATTTTTTTTTTTAAAGAAAAGCAAATTAATTGGAAAATGCAAGAGAGCCTTTGACGAAAAGCAAATTAATTTATTTGCAAAATATTATCTTGATCTGAGTTTGTGATTTTTTTAATATATTTTAATTTTAAATATTATTATATGTTTTTAAAAATTAAACCACCAAACACAATTTCAGTTTTTTTTAAACTGAAATCAATCTCGGAATAAAACTACCAAACACATTTTCAGAAATGATTCCAAAATGAAAATAAAAACATTTTCGTTTTCATTTTTATACAAAAAATAAAAACGTTTTGAAACGAATTTCAAACGCATTACCCATCCTAGAAATTTAATTTTCCTTATTTGTGTATTTAAAATATGTGAAAGGGCTTAATTGAAAAGTAGAATCTTAAATGGGGTTAAATTTATCAAGAAAAAGTTAAAAGATAGAAAATCGGCTTTGGAATTCGCCAAAGCCCACACCCTTGATCGAGAGTGTAAAAAGAAGCGACAATCTCTATATCTGTCGTCGGATCGAGGCCCAGAACCATCCAACACACAAGAGAGCCCACGTCCCACGGAGGCGCATTAAAGCGAATGAAGTAACAAGGGTTAGGCCAATCAACGTGCACCACGTCATGTGGTTGTCTGCCACTCTCCGCAACACCCTTGATCAATTGCTCCACGGCCCATCGAATCGCCCATACACCCTTGTGCTCGACCAGTTGCAGTGTGCCATTCGTCCAGTACTTCCATCTACCCAATAGTGCACCATCGCGTGTCTGTCTTAGTCAGGAGATGCGCTCCAGCTGTGCGAGGAATGAGAGAAAAGGACAAAAAAAAAACTTCGTTCACTTCGCTGATTCGAGTTTAGAATTCGAGTTGAGATGTGATTTTATGTGAGAGTTTTATACTGTAGTAAAAAAATTAGATGTGATTATTTGTGAGAATTTTTTACTGTAAAAAA